CTATGGTTTTGGAAATTATTATTTGAACTGAAAGTTCGTCTTTGAAAATCATTGTTTTGAGGGTTATTAAAGTTTTGATGGCTATTAAAATTTCGAGAATTGTTAAAATTATGAGAGTTGTTGGAATTCTGCGATTAATTATTTTGGGAATTTTGTCGAGAACGACATTCGTTGTACGAGTGGCTCATACGTCCACAAAATGTGCATCTATGTGGTTGAATCTTTGGTCTTCTGACAGGTTGATTATTTTGATTCGGTTTTGGAGGATTGGGTCGATTAATTTTCTGTATTTCGAAATAGGATAATTGGAACTCTCGTCTGATGCGGACTTGGGCTTCAAGAAGGTCTTTTTGATTACTAGCACGAATAATATGAGCGATTTTTGAATAGAGGCCGGTCAATAAGGTATTGAGCGCCATTCATTCAATTAATACAATTTGGGCCTGTTTTTCTACAGCAGAGAGGCTAGATTTCTGTATATTAGCGTGCATTTTTGCATTAAAGACTTGGACACGATTAAGGAATGTAAGAGACGATTCATTCGGAAGTTGTTTGACTCTCTGTAAATCTTGTATCAAAGAAGATAAGTCTCTAGTGTCTTGAACTCTTATAGTTGCTTATAAGTTGCGTTGCTCTTAAAGTATCGGAAAAGTATTTTTCTAAGACAGTATCTGATTAGCAGAATAATCGACAAAAGTAATCGTTAAATAAAATAAAAATTAAAAAGTTAACGATTTACAGAATAATCGCCAAAAGTTTATAGTTATTAAAATAATTATCAAAAAATATTTAAATTCGGCATAAAATTATTAATTAAAAGAATATTTTATATTGGAATATCGAACAGTATATGGTAATAATTGTATAAACAAAAATTATATACGAGATGATTCAATATTAGACTTACATCAGTTCCAAAAACATCTAGTCGTCTTGTTCTCGACAGCTAATTTACCAGGGGCTTCACTTGGCGTTCCTTCCGTAGATGTCTGCAAAGTTAGGACGGCACTGCCGTCCTAACTTTGCAGACAATTTTTAAAAAGTCAAAAAATGTTTCGTGATATATATATATATATATATATATATATATATATATATATATATATATATATATATATATATATATACAGGGTGGTATACAAAAGTCATAGGAAACTATTTGTAGAGGACTCAAATATGTATC